AAATAAAAATAAATAAAAATAAAAAGAGAATTAAATTTAGTGAGTGCGCGAGCATGTTTTCGACACCGCCATCTTTGGCGATTTTTCATTTTGTTTTGGCAAAGCTAAATGACCTGAAAATTTACAGATGTGTACTTCACATAATAAAAAACCCACTAAAAAAGTTTCAAGAAATAATAAAATTGTTTAGACCTCGAACTAAAGTGAAAACAAAAAGTAAAACGTGAAAAAATACGTGGGCGAGCACGTTTTGACACCGCCATCTTTGCCGATTTTTAATTCTTATCGGGCTTAGCCAAATGACTTGAAAATTTACAGGCATGTACCTCACGTCATAGAGAACTCACAAAAACAAATTCAGAAAACAATTATTATTTTTAGGCCCCGAAATAAGTTTTGGCGGGGGCCGAATGCCGTCGGGTTCGGACCCCGTATGGGACCCCAAACGCCCGTACGTACGGAGGTCTGCCCGGGGACCTCCGTACGGGCTGGTGACCCTGTATATATATATATATATTCTCTCTCTCTGCCTACGGTTTACAGGGCATTTCTATTTGTGACGATATATATAATTTGGTAAAGAATTTCGATGTGAGAAAAAAAAGAAAGTTCTTCAGTTCATTTTTCTGCATAAGTCTTTTTTGGAGGGTTTTTTTTTTTTTTTTTGGTGCTAGGATTTCCCCTGGTCCTTGCACATCCGGGCCGCCTGGAAAAATAGGGTGACCCAGGCGGCCCCGCTGGTAGCCTAGGCTATCAATGATTTGAAAAAACAATTGATTGTGCACAAGCTGCACTCCTTTTTTAATTTTGGGTTTGGATGTTTTGCCCTTTTTTTTAAGAAAAAAGGAGATTGGGGAACTGGGCCCGGCATTCCTTATATTTCAGAAAGCCAGGAATCGGGCCTGGCGTCCCTCACAAAAGGTAGGCAGTCCCATTGGAGGGCGAGACATCACCAGTCAAGCCCATGGATCGGACCACACACACTCGTCAATCGAAAAAGCAAAGCATGTGAAACGAACCCTAATTTTTGGTCCCGGGCCTGGTGTCCCTTATATTTCAGGAATCGGGCCTGGCGTCCCTCACAAAAGGTAGGCAGTCCCTTCGGAGGGCGAGACATCACCAGTCAAGCCCAAGGATTGGACCACACACACTCCGAATTATTATTGATATCACTAACAAATTTCCAGCCATCAAGGGAGTACCAAAGGCCTAATTAGACATCAGAGAACAAAACCAACAAAATTATCCCCCAATGCCCTAAGCCAAGCATATGAGGCGAACCCTAATTTTCACCATGAAATACTAGCAAGTTATTGTCTACCTCACCAACTAATGGCCGTCCAGCAAGCTGTAAAAGTTATTGTCTATCTCGCTCAAAACAGCAACGAAATTCTCTCCCAAAACAGCAAAGAGTGATGGGGGTAATGAGAAAAAAAAAACCCAGAAAGGACACAAGGACAAAACAACTATCAAGCGGAGAACAGAACCCCACACTCGAAGCCTAACCATGAAAAATGTAACCATGAATATCATCGAAAGCTTAAAAAGGGGGCAATAAACGTATCACACAACAATATATCCATAGTCCAAATGAAATATATTCCAACTTCAAAACAAAAAAAACAAAACAAAAAAAAAATCCAACAACGTAATCGTTATGAACAACAGGTAGTCTCACGTCTAAAAGGACAAGTGCAACGATCATGCTTGTGAAAAAAGGAAAACAGCAGCTGTGCAAACAAGATGAAGTGACCGACGCAGAAGAGCAACCGCAAATCTTCTTCATGAGCTTGAACCTTCAGAAGTGCAACCATCATTGTTAACACAGCAGTCATCATTGAAGCACACGTAGCTCGAACCAATCTGCGCTACCCATCAGAACTGTCATGGTAAGCACAACCGTCATGGGAAGCACATCCAACCAATTGGACAGGCTGCTCCAGTGCTGCGTTGGGCAGCTCGGAAGCAGGATTACCCTGCGCGTACATTCCATATGAACAACCGAAGGGTGAAGCCCCCGATCAGCTCCGTCAGGTATGGGGGCGACGCGTTAGCGCTGCTTTGCCGGATGTTTGCACTTCTATTTAGTATGTATGATGAACTTCAATGGAATACGCTTTGGATGCAAAAAACGCCAAAATTGATGAAAATAAGAAAACCCCTTGAAAAAAAGATTTGTAAGGTAACATACCACTTTCTGGTGGCTGTGGTCTGGGTAAGGGATGCTGGGCCCGGTTCCCAGCTAAAAAAAAAAAAAAAAAACCTAGACCATTTTGTTTTGTTGTAGTCGTTTGACTAGCCAACAATGGCGACAATTGAAGAATCCTTTATACGTCAACTCTGCAAAGAGGGGTATCTGGACAGCCGGCCCAAGATGCATTTGACTGACAATAAGGATTCATGGCATCGCCCAAAGCTTGTGAGGCCCTTGAGGATAGCAGTGGACTCCACTCACACCAACTGTGGAATCCTTGCAGACTGTATAGTTCAACCCCCTGGACAATAGATACGGCGATAATGACCATAGGTTCTATTGCGGTGGAGACGGTAGTTTGTCGGGCTTACTGCCGTTATAGTCCGGGGTTTGAACTAGACAGTCTGCAAATGATCGCATGGTTGGTGTGAGTGGAGTCCATCACATAGGCTGGAGGGGGGACGGGGGAGGCGGGAGGGAAGACAGTTGACAAGCACACACAACGACAGATTTTCCTTTTGGGTTTTTCTATGGTAGGCGAGGTTTTTCTAGTATCCCTTCGAAGTTCTCAGAGTGTTCTAAGTCGAAGCCAGGGTATTCCAATCATTTGTATATTTGTATATGGGACGCTGGGCCCGGTTCCCAGCACGTGTTGCTCCCCATGAATAGATTGGAGCATTTGTCCCAAAAAAAAAAAAAAAAAAAGGACAGAACACGGCGAAGGAAAAGACCAGCAAGTTGGAGAAGACAGTAAACAGCAACCAAGAAACAGCCAGACAAAGGAGCAAGGCACGGGCAGGGAGGCAACACAGGCTGGAGGGCATGGGGGAGGCGTCAGGGCTGATAGCACAGAAGGTACTGAGGGAAATACACGAGGCGACAAGACATAGGATGGCAAAGAGCGGTAAGGGACAAAGGCTGGAGGGCACGGAGGAGGTGGGAGGGAAGATGGCACAAAAGTATACCAAGCTGATGACACACAGGGACACCAACCAGACCCAGCAAACGACACACAAGCACACCAAACAGGCCAAGCAGATGAAGCACAAGCACACCAAGCAGACAACACACAAACACATCAAAGTTGATCAAACAGACCAATCAGATGACGCAAAACCACACCAAACAGACAAGCTAAAAAAAACACAAGTCCTGAAAATTTTGGACTGAAAAAAATAAAACTGATGATAGATTGTTTCGTTGTAATTGCACCGACTCATCAGGAGGCTGAACCCTCGACAATCTGCGGAATGCCCGTATTGACGTTTTGGGTCACGAACCCTTTGCCCCATGTTGAAGGCAGACTGTCCCCAAGTGGAACATAGCAGTGGGCGACAACTCAGCGAAGCACCAGGCAACGCTGCCGTGGCAAACCAACTGCACAAAGCCAAAAACTACTGCAAGGAACGGCAGGACAAACGGACAAGCAGCACGGCATCAGCGCAGGGAAGCACAAGGCAACACCAACACGGCAGCCACACCACCCGGCACACAAGTAAGGAACATGGAAGGGGAGGAAAGCAGATGGGCAGCAAGGCAGCAACGCAACGCAGCGATGCCCAAGGCAACACACCACCACGACAACCACACCACATAGTGAACACAGCAGCTTGCAAGGGACGGCATGCAACGCCAGCTGGACAGGCAGTAAGGCAGCAGCGGAGCGCAGACAAGGCAGTCAACACATCCAACACGGAGCAAAGCGGCACATCACCTACTCATATGACGTCGGGCGAACTTCGAAGACTGTTGGTTCCCACTGCCTGCTGAGCCAGGAAGGTACTCCAATGGACATCAATCATCCATGCACAGACCTCATGCACCACAGACATCGCAGATGGAGCGCCCCGTCTAAGAGTCCTGCAGGCACTCCACGGACAAGACTACCAATCACCGACTATTTACCACTGCTTAAGGGTGCTCAAGCAGACACAAAATATGGGGGAAAAACCGTGGAGGAGGAAAAACAAACATACATACATAAAAATGATTGTGTGTGTGTGTGTGTGTGTGTGTGTGTGTGTGTGTGTGTGTGTGTGTGTGTAACATTCATTTTTCTCTCTGTTTGTAACCCTTTTATGCACCCATCATTGTCTCTGTCTCTGTCTGTCTGTCTCCAGGCTTGGTGTGCTGATCCGGAATTGGGTAGAGGATGAGCACGCACGCCAGAGGTGGTATGCAAATAGAGGCCGTTGCCGGAACCCCCTGGAAGACCTAGCAGTCAACGGCCAGGTACTATTATTCATACTTGTACTCAACCCTTTAAAACCAACAAACAAACAAAAAAGCCACTGTAGGGCCTGCGGGTAATACTCTCAACTCATCATTGTTGATTCTCTGCCATTTTCTGGCAGTCAGAGCTAAAGCCCAGAAAACCTGTTCTCAGGACCTTTGTCTAAATTGCGTTCTCCGGACTCTTATGTCCTTGTTGTACAAAATTAAATCCCAGAGTACCTTCACTGTCTAACAACTTCAGGAGGCTTACAACATCCGATTCGGGTGGCAAATTGTGTGACCTTCTGGCGGTCGATTCCAGTACTGTAACAACACATATTAAGCCTTAGGGTAGGTTTTAAACAAAACAGATGAACTGAGGGCGGAACACTTGTTGTATAGAAGTAAATCCCCAGAATACCATCACTTTATGATAACTTCAGGAGGCTTACAACGTCCGATTCTGGCAGCAAATTGTGTGACCTTTTGGCGGTTGATTCCAGTAAAACAAATAAGGGTAGGCTTGAAGTTTAAACCACCTGCAAGGAATATGAGCGAGAGCGATAGACAGAGATCCAAGTACCAAAATCACAAAGTAGTCCAGATAGTCATGTACCAAGCAGAGAGCACAATGCACCAAGATACCATCCAAATAAGAGCAATACAATGAATTCGAACGCCAATGCCGACGCTCTCTGGTCACACCAACACTTTATCCAATGTCGCTCCTATTGTCTGGGGCCCAGCGCCCAGCCTACACTACTCAGCCTATCTATCCTATCTACGTTCATGAGATTGGATCACATCGAAGTTGAAGACCAATGTACGTGACGTCATCACCAATGCCGACCGCCAGCATACACCAAGCATGTTCTCTCCTTCCCTCATCACCCCTTGATTCCCTTTGCATGCGCCTCCTACCCGAAGACCACCATCACCATCACCTGCACCCGCAAGCTCGGCCCGGGTATGGCCGCCATGCGCCCACTGCCACCGCAGTGCCCTCTAACATCTTGCGCCCGCGTTCGCCCTGGCCTGGCCGCATAGCGTAGCAGCAGCGTGGCCGCATTGCCTACTCAGGCCAGAATGTCGCTGCCTGGGCAGGCCACTTTCCTTTATGGAAAGTGCGGCCATGTATGTGTGGGCCCGGCTGGGGAAGTTTCCAGTAGCTTCCAGTAGGGCCCCAGTGTCTGCGCCCAGGCCCACTGCTGCTGTTACGGGCCTGGGCCCCTTACAGTTGGGCACGTCCAGGCAGCAGTCTAGGCTCCAAGTGTTTGCCGCGTTCTCATTGGCTCGTCGAGGTTGTGTGACGACAACGCTGCTTTCTCATTGGTCCGCGGCCTCTGTGTGATGTGTCGGCCTCTCTCTGTGTGCGTGCCCAGGGCTCAACTAACCGAGGCCCTGGGCTCAACTGTGCAGCTCAGCTGTTGCTTCCGGATAGAGCCAGGAAAGGCTCACGTTGTTTTGTAACCAACTCGCGTGCTGCAACTGTCTGATACCTCACGTATGGAAAAATGTCGATAAGAGGCCTCACGTGGATATTCGGGCCCGCCTTCACTTAGGGCGGGCACCAGGCTTGCTGGGGGCCACACCCCAGAACACTTGTATGTCTGCTAAGGGCCTCCGCAAGGGGTCATTCCTCGCAACACCAGTACCTCTACCAGTGTGCGGCCGCTGGGCGTTCACGTTAACGCGCCGCGACTTTCGGGGGCTTTGGGGCCGCACTGATTTTTCATCTGTGGCCAACATCGGGGGGCGGGCCTCCAAAAGTCGTGGGGAGGACCCCGCTGCCACACAACCTCTAATGGTTTAAGAAAAACACATGAACCCAAGCGCAGAACACTTGCTTTATAACTCAGTAGGTTTCATGCCTGAGCGGCACCGTGTAGGTGCTGGGTTCTATTCCCTGTTGCCGTCAGTGGCCTGAGGAAGATTGGTGGCCATCATGGCCAGTCAACATTGGTACTAACTCGCTGGGGCGAGTTGTGCCGCGCTGTAACCCGTAGCAATGTGGGAGCATCGGGCCAAATGGAAGTGGCTTCTCAGGTCCTTCTGCGGCCGTTCGGGACACACCCAATAGACATCCAATAAAAAGAGCTCTCTGGTAACTGTCGAGTTCTCAGTCATTATCATCATAGCTGAGCTGACATTCATGGCCACTCGATTGCAATGCCTATCAGCCTAGTATCAGGGTTGAGACCCTCAATTTCACGATAGTTCCACGATAATTCCAGAGGCTTAAAAACTCTCACTGACAGCACACCTGTCACAACATAAGCTCAATAAGGAAGTTCAACAAGTCATGATCATCACATATAATATAATACACTAACTTCCATAATAATCTCGAATTACCCTGGGGCCCGTCACCTGTGTATATATCTCAAGACTGCTGCCCTTTTTTTTCCTTCTTTTTTTTTTTGAAAAGAGCACTTGTTTCATAGAAGTAAGTAAATCAAAGAGAACCTTTTGTTTTTTTTTGGATTTTTTTTTGGATTTTTTTTTGGAAAAGAGCAGAGTTGCCAGGCCGAACGTACCGAGGCCCCTAAGCTGACCCCCGAACGTTCGGGCGTTCGGGTCCCCGTACGGGGCCCGAACTTGAAGGGGTTCGGACCCCACAAAAAAATAGTTTGGTACCTAAAAATTATTATTTTTTTCTGATGTTTTTTTTTGTGAGTTCTCTGTTATGTAAGCTACCTGTCTCTCAATTTTGAAGTCATTCTGTGGAGCCAAACAATAATGAAAAATCGGCAAAGATGGTGGTGTCAAAACTTGCTTTCCCACTTACTAATTTGTTTTTTTTCTCTTTTCACTTTTTGTTTTCCCTTTATTTCGGGGCCTGAAAAAAAATATTATTTTTTCAGACTTTATTTGTAGGTTCTATATTATGTAAGATACATATGTGTAAAATTTCATGGCATTTGACAAAGCCAAAAAAAAATGAAAAATTGCCAAAGATGGCGGTGTCAAAAACTTGATCGCCCACGCAATAATTTCATTGTCGTTTTATTTTTTTCTTATTTTCATTAATACTATTTAGTTTTCGTATTTGATTTTTATTTCAAATTTGGTAAGGAATTTGGATGTACTGTTGAGGCAAATGTGTTTAGTTTATTCTTCTGCATGACATACTTTTTTGCAGAATTTTTAGAGACTTTTTTTTTTTTTTTTTTTTTTTTTGGTTCAGCGTTCGGTCGAACGTCCGAACGCGTCGAGAGGGGGTCCCAAACGTTCGGGCGTTCGGGTTCGGGTGTTCGGCCCGTCCCGAACGCCGGCAACCCTGGAAAAGAGCACTTTATCATAACTTACCACGTCTGATTCTGGCAGCAAATTGTGTGACCTTTTGTCCGTCAATCCCAGTAGGGCCACTGCAACAAATAAGGGTGAAGTATTTGTTGTATAGAAGTAAATCCCTGATTACGTCGAACCGAGGGTGAAGTATTTGTTGTATAAAAGTAAATCCCTGATTACGTCCACTTTATGATACAGGCCTCACGCCCCCCAAGGTTTCCCCTTGAGCATGATGATGACACAAGACGGAGAGTAGCCAAATCTCTCCCCACTCGGAGTTGGTCAAATCCTGAAAAGTCCTCATGAGGGCATATTCTTAGTGATCCTGACAAAGACCCCCTCTTCTCCTCTCCCCCTTAGTGGGTGCAAATATCAGACCCCCCCCCCCCCCCCCCCCAAAAAAAAAAAAGAAAAAAAAAAGGAGAACAAAATGCTGATCAGATGTGTTCCTTCTTTTGGGCAAAGAAAGCAGTACAAAAATCTCTATCCCTTGAACCTACGATCCTTCGCTGACATTGAGAGCATCATTACCTCTAATCCTCAACACGCATATTCCATCCCCTTCTCCTTCCTTCCTACCTTTCTCACCCCAGTCTGATCTTCAAACTGCGTTTCCCTCCTCCTCCCCCTCCCCCTTAAAGTTTACCCCTTTCCCCCATTCCCCCTTCTCCCCTTTCTCCCCCTTCTCCCCTTTTTCCCCTTCTCTGCCTCACCTCCTCCCCCACCCTGGTGTAAGCCTTAACCCCATCTCCTAAAAACAAAGAAGGATTGTGTTCTCAGGGGAAACAAAGAGGACCCTCAGATCTGTTTTTCGGTGGTGAAGCATGCTTTCCAAAGGGGAAACCAGGTAAACAAAAACAAAAACAAGAAAACATCCTAGGTGATGGATGCTAGGGGTCCTGATAGGGTTTCGTCTTCTGCAAAGGCACAATGTTCCAGAAATTGAGATACCTTTCTTGAGGTGGTCTAAGCCGGGGAATGGCCCCGGTGCTTTAATACGTGTGTATGGGACGCTGTGCCCGGTTCCCAGCACGTGCTGCGCCCCACAAATAGATTGGAGCATTTTGTCCCCCCCAAAAAAAAGGTAAAAAGAAAGAGGTGGTCTGAGCCCGTCTCCTATTCTTGGGGATCTTTTTTTATCTGTTATTTTTATTTTTTTCAGAGGTTCTTGGGGATTATTAATATTATTATCCACCAACTTGCAGGAACTCCTTTTTTGTATAATCAACTAATAATAATCAATTAATAACATAATTATAATAAATAATAACAATAAATAATAACAATAAATAATGATTATTATGATATTATCATTATCATTATTAACACAAAAACTCTTCTGTAGAAGCTAAAAGTTGTGAAACAGTCGTTTCCTTTCCAATTGTTGTTGATGATAGTTCTATTTTATGGCTTTATTTTATGCCTTCATTGTCTTGGTGGTGCAGTTTTATGGCGTGACAACCCACATGGCGTCATTTCGCCCAGAGGTACGACGAAACACCTTTTTTTTTTTCCTTTTTTCTTTTTTCTTTTTTCTTTTGTAACATTCCCTTGGGTAATGCTAGGAGTGCTGGGTACGACGAAACACTGATCCTTCTGCATCTGAATTTACTGGTATCGTTGTTGATTGATTGACATCTCAAAGTTTTAACTGGCAACGCTGTCATTGATGATTGATGTCATCCATCATTTGGAGACCTGTAACAGTTCTGTTCCGACTCTTCCCAGGGAGCTTCAGATATCGTTTTGACATTCATATAAGGATGCCTGCTTTTATTTTTTCMCCCCCCCCCCCCACACACACACCAAGAGGTTGATAATGATTCCGTTTATTCTGTCAATAATTTTGAAGGTTGAACTACCTCACTGCATCTTTGATGAACAGATCCTCGCCAGTAAAAAAATGTGGTGAATGAAACAAAAAAGGAACAAGTGCGTTTATGCCACCTTCTGAGTTCAGAAAGGCAAAAAAAACACAAAAGGGCAACAAAGACACGAATGTGGTGAATGAAACAAAAAAGGAACAAGTGCGTTTATGCCACCTTTTGAGTTCAAAAGGCAAAAAAACACAAAAGGGCAATGAAGACACGGCCCGAGTTTGGAAAAGGCAGAAATAACAGCAAAAGGTGGCGGTAACGTCAGGCGCCGAGTTGAGAAAGAGCACTGGCGTCAAGTGACTCAAGTCCACGGTGGTCCTAGCCCGTCCCAGACCGCCCCAGCAGTCACAGGCCCCGTTTTCAGAATCCACACTCTGTGTGTGTGTGTGTGTGTGTGTGTGTGTGTGTGTAGTGGGTGTGTAGAACACGGCTACCCCATATACAATGGGGAACCAGACCATGCATCTGTCCAATCGTAAAATAGCACCAAGTTAGCAGCAGGCATAACACAACATGGGTTGAGAGAAGAAAATTTTGATTATGTCATAAACTCCATAACAAAAGGATGCATGTTAGTTTTGAAGGATTAATCAAGAGGGGAGCATAGCCGTAGGGGGGTTGCATGCCCTGAAGCGCGCTTTTCGCTGCTTAGCACCCATAGCAGCTCATCAGAGGGACAGCCTCTGGCTCCCGTTAGGGGGTTAAGTATGTATGTTAGTAGTGGTGGAAGGGTTCAGGGAGGGAGGGAGTTAATAAGTAATTTGTTTGTTAGGCAGACACAATGTGGTAAGAGTATGTAGAACCATACCTGAGTGCGTAGCGCTTGTGTAGAGGATGATGTATCTTCGATGGTAGCCATCGGGTCCTCTAGAGATCAGCTGCCACGTGTTACTGTATGTAGCACCGAGGACACGTCTTCAATTGCACAGTTAGGATCACACTGTCTAGTCAGGAGTGTGTCTGGCACAACAGTTGCGTGGGATTGCCTTGCTGAGAAGGCGTTACGTGCTTAGAAGCATGCGAGCAGGGATTCAACGAGAGCATAGCATACCAGTGCAACCCGGAGCCGCTTGTAGCACTGTAAGTGCAAGTGGTTATATACGGATGAGTCTCAGGCGACGAAGCTGTATATAGGAGATGAGGGGTAGCCTGGCGATAATCATGTAGAAGGGTGGTTTGTGTATTTCGTAAGATAGAAGGGGTTTGCGTAGAGTAGATATGGGTGGAGGAGGATGCATTCATTATGGTCATTGGTATGGTAGCGTTTTTTTGTTTTTTTTTTAAATTATGTATGTAGAGTTGTTTTAGTAGGAACTTAGGAAGGTTTTTTTTTTTTTTTTTTTTTTTACGTAATCTTGTCCATCTCGTGTGTTATGGCCATGTTTTTTTGGGGGGGAGGGTGTAGGAAGTAGGAGGTGGAACGAGGGTTTTTTTGATGTCGTGTTATTTCGTCAAGTTTGTCTTTATGTTATGGTGGTTTGTAGGCTATGGCGTGCATTCTCAGGTCGTAGGATAGGGACATTTTGTGGGCACATGTTTTTGGTGGTATTTGCTGGTTGTCGTATTGGATAAACATTGGCTATAATTTTGTTTGGAAGCGTCGTTTCAAAGTTTAGTTTGTCTCTTGTTGCAGTGCCTTGCAGACTAAGGTGTGTGCGCTTAGCTCGTAGGATGGGGACATGCGTGGTCATGTGTTTTTGGCGGTATTTGTTGTGTGTCATTTTTGCAAAGCGGCGGCGAGAATTTAGTTGAATGCAATGTTTCAATTTGTGGGTTGGGTAGCTGACCGTGACAGGCTTCCGGTATGCTGTATTGTTGTATCAATTTCATTTTTGTACCCCATAACTTGTTATACGAGGAGTTTTGTTTTTCTATATATTATGTTTTGCTTTATTATGCAAATGTACTTCAATCGCGTTGCTTTAAGCCTTTAAGGAATTGTTTGTGTAGCTTTGTCGAAAATCCTTTTGGGTTATTTTTAAATTTATTACACTTTTTATTTTTTTAATATTTTTTATTTTTTATATATTTTTTATTTTTTATTCTTGAGTTTTTTTTTTTGATTACTTTATTACTTTATTATTATTTTTTATTTTTTAAATTTTAATTTTTATTTCTGTATTTATTTACTATTTATTTATTTATTTTATTTATTATTTTATTATTTTATTATTTTATTGTTTTATTTATTAGAAAAAAGAAAAAAGTAAAAAAATAGATTGAACCTATGTGAGTGTGTGTGTGTGTGTGTGTGTGTGTGTGTGTGTGTGTGTGTGTGGTCATATTCGCTATACACGCAAAAAAAGCATGACTGTGCCAGACTGTTTCGCTGGACTTTCAGCGACTCATCGGGAGGTTGAATCCCCTGTGAGTGTGTGTGTGTGTGTGTGTGTGTGTGTGTGTGTGTGTGCACGCACAGGTGTGTGTGGAGGAGGTACTCACAGGGGTGAGCTGATGTTGCAGCGAAAATAGCTTTTTTCGGCCTGGTACCTGGGAACAGACCAGTACCGGTGTCCACTGTGACACAGCTGCCCATTCAAACTTCCACTGCTGGCTGTATAGGACTTCACCCTGACGCAACAGCTACTGCCCGCCTGTGACAATGTACCGACGCATGTTTTTTTTTTCCCTTTCGAAACTCGATTGTGCCATAAACGCACTTGCCCCTCTTGTGGGGCCATGTCACACGAGACCCTTTTCTTCCGTTAAACCACTAGTACCTCCGAGCCTATTTTCGACAAGTACTGGTCTACCTCCGAACTTTCAGGAGGCCGAGCCCGCCGTTGATAAATCTGATCGGCGGCCGTCGTTTTGTTTCGGCCTCCTGAAAGGTCGGAGGCCGAGTATTTTCGAACCAACAAAGGTACTAGTGGTTTAAACCACCAGTACGTCTGAGCCTCATTTTACCAACTTCGATTTCTGTTGCATGCCATGGTTCGCCGAACCGGGCCGAAATCATGGTTTTTTGCCTGGTGCCATTAGCCTTTTCTGTTCGGTAGGCCGAGCCCCGAAGGACGCTGCGTGTTAGCTGCAGCTTTGGAACAAAATAGCTGTGGAACATACTGGTGGTTTAAGGAGGTCGGTTGGGAGTTATATACTCTTTTATATTTATGAGAGCTTGTCAACGAACCTCTAGCATTTCACTGATTTGGCTGTAAGCCCCCCCAAAAGTGCCCTTCTGTCGGTAAAGCCCTCAAACAGGCCTTTTTTTCAATTGCCACTTCCTAGTCAGACCCACGGCAGGGCTTATTGAAAATTTTGCGGGGTCCTACTGGGGATATGTGCACACTTTAGAAGTGCTTATCGACAAAAAAATGTTGAATGGGTACCTGCTTCTGAGAGATTTATCGACAAAAGGGCACTTTTGGCAGACTGATGGCCAAATCAGTGAAACCAAGGGGGCTTATTGGGCTTAATGACAATTTTTACGTAACTACTTTACTATTATTCTATTTTATTGTTAATGCAGTGCAGCGAGGAACCTCACAATGAGAACACAAATTTTCCACAGCAGCAAGGACACAAAACCGAACAAGCATATGTGGTCCGGGTCAGGCTTGGCCGGAGTGCCGCGCCCATCCCACAGGCCGCAGTGAAAGATGTGAGGGACGGGCCCCGCAGTGAAAGATGTGAGGGACGCTGGGCCCGGTTCCCAGCCTATAATCAACTTTCTTTAAACCACCACTTCCTTTTGCAGCTGTAGTCCCACTTCCGGAAAAAAAAAAAAAAAAAAAAAAAAAAAAAAAAAAAAAAAAAAAAA